AAGCACTGTCTGACGCGTCTGCCTCCGCGACCCGAAAGGAGAAGCGGCGATGGAAGATGAAGATGAATGATTAAACAGGGAAGAAATGTCAACAGTCAGTCAGTTTCAATGACCGCTCATTCCACTGGATCGCGGAGGCAGACGCGTCAGACGCTGTCACCAACGCTCCACGTTTGAATTCGGTAGAAGACAACCGGAGTCAGTCTTAGATTGCTTCGACAACTTGCCCCAAGTCATTCTTGCTACCGCGGCGGTCTTTCGCCCGTCGGTTGGGCAAAGAGCAGTTGTTTCGCCCTCCTTTCTGGAAACATTCGAAGGACGTGACCAAGACATCACATCTGTGACATTTCAATCTGGAGAAGCTGCGGATGCACACCAAGACTTTTTCCGACGACGGAATACCATCGTCAACAGTTCTGATACCGCCGCCCTCATTACCCACATACCAGCCGTGAATACACAGGACATCGCCCAATACAGATTAGTTACGCATAACCGTCCGCCCGTACCCACCATCAAACACCGAACTCGACCTACAAATCGCAACAACATACTTGACATCCGGACAAGAACTGATCGCTCGTTCAGCCTCTCTTTCAGGTACGCTCCAGGCGGGCGGTTGGCACACGTTTTCGCCAGAGGATGTTTCCCTTACATACTGTTGTTCGGTTTCAGCCTTAAAGAAAATAATTAAAGGACCACACCTTCACCGACGAAGCGTCACCTGATGAACAGCGTGCCATTCGCGGGCGGCCAGCTCTTGGTACTTCCTTTCGGCGCTTTCGTAGTACTGATCGCGCAGCATTTGTCTGCCTATCGAATCGTTTTCGTCTTTTCTAGTAGGGAAAGTCCAATAAGCGTACCGTTCACAATTTGAATACAGCAAATAAACAAACGGCAATTATGAGGGAGAAAGTAAATAATTATGTCGATGGCGCTGGTGTAGCCCGAATTCTGTGCAAAGCAAACTTCTGTAAGTTCTACGTCTTCATTACTAGAAATGCATCACTGCAAGATTGGTTGGTTTTCAGGCAATGAGAAAGAAAACTGAAGAAAACGATGTGAAACTGAATGTCTGCTTGATTGGCTAAGTATGCAACCTCTACAACTGGGTCAACCGTCGCTAGTGCGATTCAACGATTATAACTGCAAATTAAATAATTTTCACCGGCGATAATTAGGCTGGGTACTTGCTAGCTTACTCAAAAAAGTACTTAACTACTGAAATCACAAATTAATCAGTTCTTTGTATCACTTCAATAATATTTCTCCTACTCTTCTAAATCAAAATCACTCATTTGTACCAAGCAGTTCTAAATCGAAAAGTCAGCGCAATGCTTCGCCCTGCTACAGACAACCGGCGGTTTCAGCCGGCCGTTGAAGGGCTGATCACAAGTCGACATGCATAGCGCAGTAGCGGAGAAAAACACTGGACAGCATCCAGAAATCTTTGTGATGCCGTACTTCTGCGACCACCATCTCCGTAAAAGGATCATTTACATGCAGTTCCGGTTGTAACTGTTCCAGCAGTAGCAAAGTCTGAAGGTTGAAAACAACTGCGGCAGACCGAGTGGATTTTGGGGAATGAAAGGCAAAGCGATTTCAGGTGAACAACGGTCGTGAATTCTAGCCGTTATGCACAGGAAGCGTTGCACCCGGTGCACTGCCATCCACATATGGCAGCAACTGATCATCCGATCGCTGAAAAAGATGCCTTTCGACTGAACACACCTAACGCAAGGCTGCAACATCAAGATTACATAAACGATTTCTTTTCTTCTACTTCGAGAGCTTTTCGGGAACACTGTTCAATTATCATAGTTATATTTTCATAACAGTCGGCCATGTGACCAGTTAAAAGTTGTCTGCTATCGGAACAGTCTGAAGTGCCGTTCATATTAGTTTAACGCTATAAACGTTAGATTGACCGACTAATCAATGAAGTCCTTCGCAATGACAACACATCAGTATCGTCAACGGGTAGTGGTGGTCTGTTCTACGCAATTTTTAAATCCAGGTGGCTACTTCCGCCTTAAGTCTCGACTGCTATCTGATGCATATAAACGCTCGATCATCTAACTGGGACGAATGAGAAGTGCGTCAACATGCCTGGGATCAAAACCCGAGCTATTTCGACCGCTAGCTTGAAGCACCAGCCACCTAGCGATCCAAAAGCAGAGGCAGGGAAATCTTGCTAGTCTGTATTACTTCCGCAGATGCGCAGCGTTTGTACATTCAGCATTAATGGCCCATTAAACAATCCAGTAGTGTCTAGTGCCTGTTCTGCTTGCGGCGCAGGATAGGTAGGGTTAAAAATTACTTGTTAGCCGTCAGCATGTTTCGAACAGCAGTGGTGGTGAAGGTACGACCGGAATCAGGATGAAGAACGATGCCATGCGCCGGAGCTGAAAAAGAATATGGACTATTTCTATTTGTTTGCACACAAACCTTCTTGTCTCCTGGTCAGAGGGCTCGATCCGCGGGCGGCAGCCGCTTTGGCATTGTCCGGTGAATAGTTAGGCGATTCGTGGTCTGGAACACTGCCCAACTCATGCTGAACGTACAAGACATTGGTTTTTGGATTGGATCTGCAACAGAACAAGTGCCATACTAAAACCGATTACGGTTCAAATCGAACCTGACCTCGTCGCGTTCGTTAAACCGCTGCTGCTAAGCTGAGGGCTGTGATTCGCTAAACGGATGAAATTATAACATGTCCTAATCGCCTTCGTTATTCCGCGCTACTCTTACTTTCTTCTCTAGACAAGGAAGGGGGCACAAATCGTTTCGACCCAGTGTGGTCACTTCCATAAGCACTAACACCATGTCGCGTTTCCAGTTCATACTTCAGCACCATGTATCTTCGACGTTCCGCATCGTTGAGGCTTACCTTAGCCTGTAGCCGTTGCAGCTCCTCTTTCAGAAGTTTCTCCATCTCAAAAATGGCATTAATTTAAAGCACGTCATTCAGCTCGAAGTAATGAGAGTCGCTACTTTACAAACGTAGACAGTTTGCTTAGTTTGTTGTCAGATTCTTGTTCGTTTATTGTAAACCACGAAAATCTCGCTACCACTCAGTGGGTTACAGCACAGCGTGACAAGTGTGCAATTTATTTCAAAGTCGCATGACCTGTTGTCTGTTCGACCAGAGCAACGCATCTCCGCAATGACCCGGACCTCGTCGAAACGCTAGTGGTTCGCCAGCTGGGGTCATCGACGAATTGCCTCATCGGAAAATTTTGCCTATACGTCAGCGGGTCAAC